CGTAGTAGTTCAGGAATATTGGGACACCCTGTATGTGGATCGGTGCAATAAACATTTTCATCGATTATCGTGTCAAAGGCCAAGTCACGCAGTTTTTTTTCTATCATACGGCATTTTTTATGCATGATACAAAAAATCTTTGAATATGTATTATTTGCATTGCTCTTTCGTAAAATTTCTACGAAAATTAAGCTAGTTAATGTTAAATTTCCAACATTAGCTATTAATTATAATATAATCCGTTACATATCGTATTGTTTCCTAGTTTTATTTCTAAATATTTCATTAGAAAAGTCTATTTCATCTATAAGATCTACCTATTAAAGTAAAAAATTGTGAGCTAATATCTTATTAGCCTTTTTTCATGAATTTTGTTCTCTTTTCAAACAAAAATAAATACTTTGTGTTTGTTATTGCTATATGGTCAAGGATATTCGTAACAACTAAGTTTACTAAGAAATCAGTTTTGCAAATTTCATATACAAGCCTATTCTTGAAAAAAATATTCAGTTGAAAAATCATTTACCTAAGTAACATTAATTGGCCTTAGGGATTAGTTAGATGATCAAAGATTAGTAGATCGATTTTTATCTCAAGCCTTACAACCATCAAGAATATGATTTATAGCATTTTTTTATTTATAAATAATTAATTTTCAAACACTTTTATTTTTTATTTTACTGTAATTTTATTATGAATTTATCTTGAAATCCTTGAATTGTGCTTATACTATTATATCAATTTTTAAGTTTTTATTTGCAAAACTGACTTTTATCTCAAATAACTTTAACTGGAAGTACATTTTGTGCATAAATCAGTATAAATAATCTAACTATTGAGATTGTTTCTGCAGCAAAAAAATATAAAAATATATAATACTTCATAACAAATAAGTAACAGGTGACATTAACTAATGAGCAATTCACTTATTACAACCGAAATGCATTATTTTTTGTACGCTTTTTTGATACTTGTTAATAAATGTATGCATGCAAATCTTCCACATTACATGCTATTATTACTTAGTATTTAACATCAGTCCATGATGGCTAACATTATTTAAAAGACTGTCCTATATTTACTGATTTTAAAACTGATTCTTACTGATTTTAAAAACCATATTTAAACACGTTGGTGAAAGTACTGCTCACTATTTTTTCTAAATAAAATTGATATGTCAACAAACTCCAGACTATAATACTCACTATTTGTTGATAAAAAATCATCTTATAAAATAAACTACATCCTCATATACGCAATATAAAGGTAACTTACTGTCTGACCATATTTCTAAATTTACAACTAGAGCAAACGTATTAGCACAGACTAACTCTGTGATATTAGTTTGTAAAAAAATTGTCATTAAATTTTATTTATTGCTTCTAGAATTATCAAATTACGTGTAAAGAAACGTTAAGCTAAAAAGTAAAAACTATTTTTATTTACAACCACATTATGTTACAGTTGGGGGTTGGAACTTTTGGTGTTACACAGCAAAATAAAACACTAAATCACCACAATACACCAAAACACTTTAGGTACATTCAGGCTGAGAGCGTCGAGCGTCGCGTCGCGTTTGCGTCACGTCCGCGTGTCGAAATGGAATTACTTAACTTAAATTAGACCGTTCAGGCAGACAGCGTCGCGTTTGGCGTTGCGCTAGCATCCGCTGAGCGTCGGGGTTCGAGTTCAATGGGGCGGACGCGACGCAAACGCGACGCGACGCTCGACGCTCTCAGCCTAAATGTACCTTTTACACTGGGCGCGCGTTTCGCTAATCATGTTAGCATCATCAGCAGATGATTAAAACTCAAAAGTTCTACTCAAAACTCTAGTTTTGGTTGACATGGTTAGCCAAACGCGCATCCAGTGTAAAAGTAAAACTGTTTTGGTGTATTGTGGTGATTTAGTGTTTTATTTTTTTTAACCACATTATGTTACAGTTGGGGTTATTTGCAGGAACATTTGGTGTTACAGCAAAATAAAACACTTTACTTTTGCAATAAACGCGCCTTTCGCTAACCATGTTAGCATCATCAGCAGATGATTAAAACTGAACAAGTTTGAGTTTAATTAACATTGTTAGCAAAACGCGCGTCCAGTGCAAAATAAAAGGGTTTTGGTGTATTGTGGTGAATTAGAGTTTTGGTTTACCACATAATATGTTGTTTTGTTGATATTAGCGACTTTGTAAAATTTTGAAAATGTTTCATTATCTACCTTTACTTACACTCAAATGCAAAACAACCGCAACGGAAAAATGTATGGTCTATTTTAATTAATTAATGTTATATTTTGTTAATTTTTACTCCTATTTCCTTGATTTTGTTAGCAAATTATATATAAATATATCAACTTTAATTCGTAAACTCAGTGTTATACTGCCAAGGAAGGAATTATTAGTTATATAAAATAACTTAATAAATATATTTTGTAAAATGATGATTCGATTGAAAGGAAATATAAAATGTTTAAAGTTCATTGGCATATCGAGCGTAACAAAAATAAAGTTTTCAAAATCAAAATTATAAGCATAATTGCCAATTGCGAAAAAGATTTCGTTTCAATATTACGAATTTATAAAATCATCAAATCAGCACTAACGCGGTCATCGCACCGATAGACCAATAATGCTGATTTGATGATCCGCGACATCGAATTGAAAATTACAAAATTGTCACCTCTTGGGGGGAGGGGGCAGTCTGTCCAATAATTTCGTGAGCAAATTTTTCTAAAACATTACTTTTGGGTCAGAACCGTGTCTCGTGAATATTTTGTTTTTTGACTCACTTTCATTGTCAACACATGCCTCGGTTAATTTTTAATAGCAAAATGAACTTGCCACAAACATTTTGCAATCTTTTCAATTATCGTTACTTTTTGATGTTATTCTTCATAGTGACGAGGTGGCGTTGGTGATTATTGTTGTGTACGATTGAAAATAGTCCTCAGTGTCGAAGATTGTGCAAAAGTTATTGATCTTGTTGAAGATGGCCGAAATTATAAATATTCGCTTGGTCTTTGAAAAGGAATGAGAAAATATAACACAATATATTTGCAGCCTCATTAAGAGTATGAACCGACGTGGCGTCTACACTTCTTCGTCTTACTAGTTATAAAAGCCGGTGTAGACAATACAAAGTATTAGATTCTTTTTTCCAAGTTTTTTGCTTGTTTGTACACTTAGTTACTACAGTTATTTTTCTAATATCCTTAGTTCTGTTGTGTTACTAATATTTATTAAAACCAAGCCTGGATCGTTACTTTTTACAGTTTTTTATTAGTGTTCTAATCAGTGTCTATATGATATTACGACAATAGTCACCAAAGCCACATCGTGATATTAAAAAATAACATTATAATGTAATGATAGTTGAAGCAATAGCAAATTGTTAGTGGCAAGTTCATTTCGCTCTAAAAATTAACCGAGGTATATGTTGACATGAGTCAAAAAATAAAATGCTCAGGAGACGTGGTTCTGGTCGAAAATTAATGTTTTAAGAAAAGTTACCCACGAAATTATTGCAAAAGTTAGGATAAAAACAACTTTCAATTAACCCTGTAATTATACGAGCCAAATACTAAAGTTTATAAGAAACTGAGTTTATGTATTAAAGTTGATAGATTTATATACAGTTTGCAAAAAAAATCATGAAAGTAGTAGTGAAAAAGTAAAAAAATATAATACTATAAACTCGATGAAAAAATCTTCGTTGCGTTTTTTTGCATCTCAGTGTACTTGTGAAATACTGATGACACACATCACAAGTACATGCGAGAGGTAGCCGATGCTCTATATAGAGTATGGCACTGTAAGAAGAAGAAGAAGAAGTACTTGTACTTATCTACCGTTATTTTTCCTTTTTTTTTCCTTTACTTTCCTATTTCCCTCAGCTATTTCTCTCGTGTTTCTCTATTTCTATTGCTGCTCTTTCTCCTACTTTTTTAAGTTCTAAGAAGGGGTATAAATGTTTAAATAGTCTTCGTTATTATCACATCCTGATAACATTTTGGCTTTGTTACACAAATTCGAAAGATAAAGAGATTCAAAATTGATTTTGACAACTTCTACTGCTTTTGTAGATGGTTATTTTCTTTAATCTATGTTTTGGAGCTATGATTTTACAGATTCGCACGTCAAAATACAAAATAACAAATTTTCGACATTTTTATTACAATTTTTAATTTTTAAAGTAAATTTTTGTACTTACTTTTAGATTAATAGTGTGGTTGTAAGTAAAATAGTATAAATTAAGTTAATTAATATTTTATTATCCTTCATTTTTCTGTTCACGTTTTAAAATATACTTATTCTTTGTTTTTAACTGAGAAAATACGGTGTTTTGCATCGCCGACATTGATCTAGTAAGTTCAATATAAATTTTAAAAATGAAACATAAAAATGTCCTCCCAGTTTATTTTAGAGAAATAATTGTATAATTTTTTTTATATAAATCATTAAAATCAGGGAATATGTTTACTATACATAGGTTCTACAAATTACTTTTTTAGTTCCGAAGAATATAAATTTACGTCTTTTCATTTAATATTAATTTTCCAATGATTATTTTTTAATAAAGTGTTTACGGCGTGAATTTTGTAACTTTTCGCATATTTATATCATCTAGAATGTTTTCATAGGTTCGTAAAAGAAGAAAATATTATAGTTATATTTGTTATAACATGTTTGTTTAACTATTACCGGATTATCTTTTCAGTTAATTTGATAATACTCCATAATATATCATAACTAAAAAGGTACTAAGTGAGTGTTCCTTGAAGTTTCAAACAAGATTTTCTCTAATATAAAGTGGAAAACTTTTATTCATCATGTCGGACTTCCTATGTTCAGTTTGGACATGCTACACACGGTACAAGAATGAAACTAAACTTGCCAATATTTTCTTATAAACTAGGGCTATAATTATATCGAATTTATCGAAATATGGTCAAATCAGTTCCTAATTTTTACTACTACAATTTCAAAGTCTTTTAGTATATATCTCACACCCTCTTACACTGGACATAAGATGTACTTGTATTCGAACATGAGTGACACCGCAACGAAGACGAAATAGAGTAAGAACATTGTAAAGCCGAGGCCCTAAAACAGAAAAAAATAGGTTAAATTAAACTTTGTTTATGAAATATCATATAAGAGTTGTGATCAGAAATATACACACCAACCGCAAAGTCTAGAATATTTCAATAATTTTAACCTGGTATTTTATAACAGTCATTATAACAGTCAAACGCTACAAAAATAGTCGGTTTTGAAATTATAGATCAATTTATATACCTCGGCTCTTTGATCTCAAACAAAGAAGTATGCGATGCAGAAATTAAAAAAAGACTGTGTATAGCACGCAATTCCATGACAAAACTTAATAAAACACGGAAAGATTCAGCCGTTTCACTTAGCAAACTGAAACTAATAAGAGCCCTAATTTTCCCCATTGCCACTTATGTCTCGGAGACCCGGACTTTGAAGTTAGCAATGCGAAGTAAAATCGATTCTTTTGAAATGTGGTGTTATAGACGGATGCTGCAAATACCGTATACAGCTCACCGTACGAATATTTCAATTTTTGAACAACTGAATATCGAATCTAGACTGTCATATTGTCAATAAATTAATATAATTTTTTATAGACTCACATTTACCATTAAACGGTATGCACATTATTAAGTTACAAACAAAATAATAGTAAATTACCTTATTCATTCTCCATCGGAAACATGCAATGGAGATGATCACAAACACCAACATCATAAATAAAATGGTAATGGAGCATACCATTCCAGTGGAATTTACTTCTACTGGTTCTCGATAAATGATGCAAAATAACAACCAAGGCACTGGTAACCTGACAAATTTCAAGAAAAATAACCTATTAGTTCATAATAAAAATTATTAAAAAATGCATAATACCGTGAGATAATTGTGAAACACGAAAAAAAAATTTAAAAACTGCTACTTGCCTACTTAGCTGTACTTGCAACTTAACAAAAGTAATTAAAAGACGTCATATTATGAATTTTACTTAGTTGTTTTAGTAGCGCATCTATATTTTTGTTTTTATAAAAATATAATAAACTTTAAATAATCAAACCTAACCTAACCAAATTAAACCAATTCTATTATTTACCTCTCTTTAAGTCTACTTTTATCTTAGAGAATAACTTTTAAAAACTATATTCTTTCAATTTTTTTAATTTATGTCTGTGTGGTAATCAATTATCTGCATAATTCAAAAATATAGGATTTACCTTTCTTAAAGTCTACTTCCATCATAGAGAATAACTTTTAAAAACTATAATATTCTTTCAATATTGTTTTTAATTATGCATGTGTGGTAATCAATTATCTGCATAATTCGATTATCTAGGATTCACCATTCTTTAAGTCTGCTTCCATCATAGAGAATAACTTTTAAAAACTATAATCTTTCAACTTTTTTAAATTATGCCTATGTGGTAATCAATTGTCTGCATAACTAATAAAAATATAATTGACCTTTCTTAAAGTCTACTTCCATCATAGAGAATAACTTTTAAAAACTATAATATTCTTTCACATTTTTTAATTATGACTGTGTGGCAATCAATTATCTGCATAATTTAAAAATATATGATTATTTTTTCTTTAAGTCTGTTTCGATCATAGAGAATAATTTTTAAAAACTTTTCAATTTTTAAAATTATGGCTGTGTAGTAATCAATTATCTGCATAATTCAAAAATATATGATTATTCTTTCTTTAAGTCTGTTTCAATCATAGAGAATAATTTTTAAAAACTTTTCAATTTTTAAAATTATGCCTGTGTAGCAATCAATTATCTGCATAATTCAAAAATCTATGATTTACTTTCTTTAAGTCTGCTCCCATCATAAAGAATAATTTTTAAAAACTATAATATTCTTTCATATTTTTTAATTATGCCTGTGTGGTAATCAATTATCTGCATAATTCATAAATCTATTATTTACCTTTCTTAAACTCTACTTTCGTCATAGAGAATAACTTTCAAAAACTATAATGTTCTTCCAGTTTTTTAAATTATGCATGTAGTCAATTATCTGCATAATTCATCAATATATGATTTACCGTTCTTAAAGTCTACTTTCATCATAGAGAATAACGTACAAAAACTATATTCTTTTAACTTTTTTAAATTATGCCTGTGTGGTAATCAATTCTGCATAATTCATAAATATTGGATTTACCCTTTTTAAAGTATACTTCCATTATAGAGAATAACTTTTAATAACTATACTATTCTTATATCAATGCGTCAACAATTTTTTGCATGGAATTTGCAATGTCAAAAATGTGTTTTTTGGTATTGCAAATGCGGAATAGATTCCCAGTATAATTCAATAATATTTAATTTTTCTACTTGCAAACTTTATTTATGATTAGGGGCCATCCATAAATTACGTCACAGATTAACGGGAGGGGGAGGGTATCACCGTAATGTGACATAGTGTGACAAGAGGCAAGGGGGTCAAAAGTTTTGTGACGTAACATATTAAAATTTAAAATAGTAAAGCACGAAATTTATATATGTAAAAAAAGTTTTAAAAATTTTCGACTTTGATCTCTATTTATTAATAATTTAGCACTCTCGCTATGAGATTATCTCACGCAACAAATTTTAACTTAAAATGGCGTTCTAATGCAAGTGAGACACTCTCAAAAGTTCTAAATGTTTAAGTAAAGAAAAAAATGAAATTAACTATTTTCTTGTGATGATTTTTTAATACATGCATAGATTTGAAAAATGTGTGACATCACATCAGGGGGAGGGGTTTTTAAAAATGTGACAGCTTGTGACAAGGAAGGGGAGGGGTTCAAAAGTCCTAAAATTCGTGTGACGTAATTTATGGGGATATTTTATATAAATATTTTATCTCAGGTAACTTACCCGACGGTAACGTCGAAAATATTGCTGCCAACGGACGAAGAGACGGCCATGTCCCCGAATCCCTTGCGCGCCACGATGACGGACGTGATTAGGTCCGGTATGGAGGTGCCCGCGGCCAGGAACGTCAGCCCCATGACCTCGGGGGGTATCCCCACCGTGTCCCCCGCTCGGTTGGCCCACCACACCATCAGGTACGAATAGGCCGCGATCCAAACGATGCTACCGAGGAATGTTAGCGGAAAGAACTTTTTACCTAAATCAAATACATTAAATTAATGATTATATGAAAACGGATTGCTACTTTAAAAAACTAAATTATTTTCTTGTATACAGGGTGTTTCGAAAAACATGTGCCATCTCTCGTGGGGAGATTCGTCACGTAAAAATAAGATTTATTTTTCATATCAACATAGTTCCGATTCTGCTTTGTTTCGTAGCTACAGGGTGTTAAAGTCCTAGTAATCTTTCGATTTATTATAATTTTCTTCCAAGTACTTTTAGTAATTCGAATGAAATTTTGAGTGTAAAAGTTCTTATAAGTGCTACATATTTTAATGCTAAAAAAGTATCTATAAATTCATCAGGGACGTGCATATGGGTTATCACTGGAATAGTTTTCAAAAAAAACACACGTGCGCCACTGACTTTTTTCTTTTAATGTCAAAATTGTGTAGGCCGTTTAATGCCAATTAAAAGTTATCTCTTAATATTTTGTCGAATTCGGCCTACTTGATGAGATAAACGCAATTTTATTGATTACAATTAATAAAATTAAAATCAAAATAAAATAAATAAATTATATATTTTATTATAAAATATTATTACTATTAGTTGTTATTACTATTAATCCATCATACAGCAATTTCAAATAAGAAAATAATTTTATTTAAGAAAATTACAAAAAAAATTTAAAAAGTTTTAACATCCTGTAATTCTAAAACTGCATTCCATACCCATGTTTATAGAAACATTTTTTCATATTTCTTGATGAGAAATCAATTAGTACTTATTTAAAACTTTAGCAAGTCAATGATATTAAATTTTTTTAAAGGTTGCTATTTGACTTGGATCAAGGCAAATTAATAAAATTGTGTTTAACTCATCAAGGAGGCCGAAATCGACAAAATATCAAGAGGCAACTTTTAATCGGCATTAAACTGCTTACACTATTTCGCCCACAAGAGAAAAAAAAGTCAGTGGCTTACATGCTTTTTTTAGTAAAATATTATTCCAGTTATAACCCATATGCACGTCGTTGGTGAATATGTCGAGACTTTTTTAGTTTTAAAATATGTCGCATTTATAGTAACTTTTCTCCCCAAAATTTAATTCGAAACGCTAAAAGTATTTGGAAGAAAATTGTAATAAATCGAAAAAATATTAAGACTTTACACCCCGTAGCTACGAAACAAAGCAGAATCGGATCTATGTTGATATAAAAAATAAATTTTTTATAAATTTTTTAATTATTTTTACGTAAGGAATCTCCCCACGAGATATGGCACATGTTTTTTGAAACACCCTGTATATTACAGTGAAAGTCAGAAAAAATTAAGAATAAATGTTTACAATTCTTAGGAAACGCTAACAATTACGCATTAGACCAATGATGTACTTTAAAGACATGTGTCGATTTTTACTACTAATTGAAGGGTTCAGGAGCGAAACGTGATAAGTGCCAGTTTCTTAATTTTAGGATTTTACAATATTATAGTAGGTCTAACTGCTCCCTACAAAATGTATAAACTCTGCAGGGTAATAAATTGATAAATCCTATGATATATGCGTAGTAAAAATATGGAATACACGGAAAGAACCTGATAACCAACAGCCATGCCGTGCTTTTTTGTAGTGATGGGCATTACGATTGTTTTTTTTAGTGAATCGATCACACGATTCAATTTCTCATATTGAATCGACTCCTACGATTCGTTCTTTCTCACGGGTCTTTTTTACGGCTCATCGTTCAAATGTTAGAATCCGTGCTGGCCACGTATTCTAAACAGTGAATTGAATCTCATGATTCATTTTTAATACTCGTTCAAATGAACGACTCACTCAATCTTTGCCACACATCCAATCACCTCTATACCTGGTGTCTCTCAAAAAGTGGCTTACCCCTATTTTTATTTTTTTCAGATAAAAAGAGATTTGTTACTTTAGTATATCGACAGTGAAACCTGCTAGTGTTAAGCTGTTAACTCAATATTTTTACATTAATTAAATAATACGTTTAATACATAATTTTTGCATTAAATTTTTAAGGAAATATTGAGTTTTATTGTTCCCCAACAAATATTATTGTTATCTCTTTATCATATTAACGTATGAATATACTTGCTACTTAATCATATTCAAATCTAGAATGCCACGTTATCTAAAGAAGAAAACATAACCTAACCTCACCAATGTGTCAGAAGTCAGTCATGAACTATGCATAGAAAACCTTGGCACTTAAAACGGACGTTATAAAGAAACTGCAGGTCGCACAACGCTCAATGGAACGAAATATGCTGGAAATAACCAGGAAAGACCATAATTGAATAGAGTGGATACGACAAAAGTCCCAGGTAATAGATGTCATCCACAGAATCAAGTCCCTCAAGTGGCAATGTGGATACCTGTCCATTGTCCTGTCAAGAAGGACGGATAACAGATGGACTACAAAAATTACAGCATGGTACCTACGAGAAATTAAGAGACCTAGAAGAGTATCAAATCTGAGATGAGACGACGATAATAGGAAATTAGCGGGGATAATTTGGGCCCGCTTAGCCAACAATAGACAACAATGGGCCCAACTATAAAGGGAGTATATAAATATGTGCAGGGAGGCTACACCATAATTGGAAATGATTGAATGATGAATAAGCTGAAAATGATGATGATGTACCTATTTTAGTACCGTTTTTTTAAAAAACGCTACTAAATATATGTGTATATATTTTCGTACCATTTTTTTACTCTCCTATAAAATTACGAATAATGGAGTTAGCAGTTTAACACATTTCACCGACGATATGGCATAAATCAGGATTGATTGACGTATTTAGTTGTTTTCGGTCACTTCTTGTTTCCCCAAAAATTACTTTGAATTTTAAATGACATCCTTCGATATTTTTTACTTTATTCCATAGAAAATGACACTCTGAGTAGAATGGCATATGTCAGTTTTTGACACTTTCGAATATGGTTTATTTTAAATTATAACATGCGGTTCATAATGACAATTTGACTTAAAAAATGCTTTTTCTAAATATGCGAATGACCCACCCTTATACAATTTGAAACAATAATCTCTAGCGATTGAAAAACTAGTAAAAGTAACATGTCCCTTTGTCATTGAAACCCACATGTTCCAATTATCTTTTTGCAAATACTCGTCAATGGCTTTTCTGGATGTATAAAACATTTTCATAAGTTCAGGTCTGTATAACAATTTGTAAGATAAAGATAAAACAAATTATTGTGTTAGGACAAATTATTGTGTAGCAAAATAGAGACTTTGACTAAATATTCAAAATAAGCCAATCATCACTGACTTAACTTTACTGTGGAATCTTCAATGTATTTGTTAAGCCAATTTTTTAATGTAGTTTTTAGAGAAGGATTTTTACAACGTTGAGTAAGTTAATGCTACTTGATTTTTTATAGCTTTTTCTGTAACATGTATTTCCATTTAGTGCCCTGAAGATGGAATAAATAAATTCCGAAAGCTTGACTATTGACAAAGTGTATTAATTCCCTTCCGACTGCAACCCAACTAGTTCCTAGATTTTCTTTCTCACTAGTCAGTCGATACTACTGTCTGCTGTATCTAACAATGTACGTCGCAAGTTTGAAAGCAGACACCGACTAATCGATATTAACTTCGTAATAATCTCATTCCGATTTCTTACTCAACTCACCTCTAGGTGCCCTGGTATCTGGCAAAGTTAACCAAAGCGGGAAGACAATAGGGGCCAACAGCACGTAAGTGATGCGCTTTCGCATACCGTCAGGCCAGCTCATATCCATGGCTTCGGCCTGCGGATCCTCGTTATCTCCATCACCAACCTGCAGACAGACCACCGCTTGTGAGCTCAGAGATTTACGCGATGCACGGGTGCGTACGGCAGACATACGACGCTAAAATCAGAAAAAAAAACATGAAATTGTGAAAAAATTTTAATATAAATAGGCTGAAATAAATTCGTTCGTCGAGATTTGGAGAGCTTAGAGAATTTTATTTATTAAAACAGTATATCATTTTCACTAAAATGTGCAATCTAATTACCAAATTAAATTTTTAAAAATAAAAAGTCACCCTCCTATAAGGAGGGTGACCCATTAGTGCGAAGAAGTTCAATATTGTCGTTATCTAAGATATGAAAACAAGTTTTATACCAGATGTTGCATGTATTATTATTGTATACAGGGTGACCCAAAAAAAGTTATGATAAAGTTTTAATTTTGTACATATTTGTATTCAGGATAAAATTCTGCATATAGTAGGTAAGCAAGTTTTATTTCCAGCACTATGCGGTGTTGCCATTTTATTTCCTATTTTCATAACTTTGGTTAAAAACACTATATCCGAAAAGTGGTTAAAAACTAGAGCGAATTCAACTTTATTAACACTTAGCTATATTTTATTAACATCGCAATATTTAAAATGCTATGTCTCATTTTTTTAAATACAACACCCTGCATACTATATTTCTTTTAAATGGAGAATTCAGCAAAATATACAGAGAATACAGCAAATATCTGCAAAACCACTAAAAAATTAGAACCATATTAAATAGAAAAAAAATTCTTTGGTACTAAGGCAGAACCCGATGTGTCAATAGGGAAATAATGTTAATATATAAAAAATGTTATGTAAATTGTAAATATGCAGTAATAATGTATAATTTATTGAAGTTTATTGAATAAAGATATAGCTAAAAATATCGGGCCCTGCCTTAGTACCACAGATTTAATAAAACAGCCACACAAAAAAGTGGTCTATGTTTTTTATCAGATTATCACATTCTATAGTATTTTTCGACGCTGAGCACGAATCCGCTATTAGAATTACGCCATCCCATCTCATTTTTTGTCTAACCTCAAAAACTTGGCGAAAATCCGTAAAAATTGAGGAAAATGTAGTAGGAAATTTTTTTTTTCTCATGTATAACACTATAATCTAATGAAAATGGGCCTGATAAACTCAAAAATCTGACGTCGGATTGGCAAAATTCAGATGGCGGATTGATCGAATTCGTTTGACTTCAGATTCGCGATCAGCGACCCAAGTCCAAAAAAATGGATATTGAGATAACACTGCCATCTTATGCCCATCAAGTGTCCGTTCCAAAATAGGAATAATGTAACACTGAAATAATGATTAAGTCCACTAAAATCAGCGATTAAAATATTAATACTTTGGAAAAGCGATATAAGTCCACGTGAATTCACGGAAGACCGATCCAAGTCCATATTTCAGGTTTGTAAACATATCAACGCATACAAAACTAATAAAAATAGTTCTGTATTCAGCACCACAAAAACTTTATGCTGGCCTAATTCCTTTGCCCAAACTGAAGTATGAGCAGTTAAATTTTTGAAAAAGTTCGTAGATGAATCTCTGCAAGACTACTACACAAATTTGCCTTGTGCGTCAAACAAACAATGCTCATCTAAACGATGCAGATATGGTGAGTAATATCAATTTAACTATATTGCTTTTATTTCTGCCTAAGAAACGAAGTCTGATTATGTCTATTGTGCCACTAGTTTTAAATTCAAAGAAATTAAATTCTGAAAATGGTTCTAGTGGAACCATAAGGGAACTGTCTAGTAGTGTAGTTTCATTTTATCAGAAACAAATCCCCATTCCTAAGTAAAAAATAATCTAATGCTAATAATATTAATAAAAGAATAATAATAAAATAAGAAATAAATAAAAAAATATTAAGAAAATATAATAACAATATTAATAATGAAAATGAGAATAAAAACATATTTTTCTCTTTATTCCAGCACGAGTAATCCTTTGAGTAACCACATACAGAATTATTCCATATGGACTTGGATCACTTTTCCATTGAACCAAGCGAATACGAGTTTTATTTTATCTAACAACTTTGCTATAAATTATTGTTATTTGTTTTGTCTGTTAATCAGTTAATGTCTATACATATAACTATTGATAAAATCTTCTTATGATTCGCTATATTTTATTATTTCTTTTGCTTAGTCTTTAAAGTTTCAAAATCGATTATCTCAAAAGTAAGAAAATGTGACTTAGATCGTTATTTCCCTGTAGTCTTCAATTAGCATCGGCCATATTGGATCAGCCATTTTGATTTCTGCCAATCCGATGGATCAATCAATCGGATTCATGATCAGAACCCAAAAAATTATACCGATTTTGGTTAATATCCGTGCGATCGAATCGAAATCTGTGTGCGATCGAAAATCATGATTTTTGTTAGAAAAAATATGAGACATGATAGCTCAATTTTGATAGGGTATTTTGAGTTTATCAGACCCATTTATATTAGGTTGTAATGAGAAAAAAATTTGTTTCATTTTTTCCTACTACATTTTCCTGAATTTTTACGGATTTTCACCGTAAAAAGTTTTTGAGGTTAGAAAAAAATGAGATGTGATGGTGTAATTCTGATAGCGGATTCGTGCTCAGCGTTGAAAAATACTATAGGATATGATGGTCTGGTAAAAAGCATAGAGCACTTTTTTGTGTGGCTGCGTAATTCATTGATGCCTAAAAAATAATTATCTAATCGCATTGCAAATCTCATATTTGATATCAAATTGAAATTATTTTAAAGTAAGAATAAACAAAATTTAAAAATAAAATATATAGTGTTCTATAGAACATTTTTTTTATTATTTGAAAACGTCTTTAATATTTGAAAACATTTTATTTTGCATAAAAATTAGATCCTAAGATCCTAATAAATTTTAATTAAGATATTTTAAAGAACATGACACATAATTACTGTTTTTGGTATTTATTAAATATTATGTGTGTGTATGTTATTTTATAATTCTCTGCTTCTCTTCTTTCAACGAACGAATCTATGAAAACAATTTGTGTGGCTCGCAATGGACTGTGGACTGTAAGCAGGTGTAGAAGCTCGGTTTACATCTATATACTTACGATAAATATATTTATACAAATATGTACATTATATTTTATTATTATAAGTTAGGCAAATGACAAGCAATTGAGACATTTTGAATAATTGAAAAATTTGAATTGGACAGAAAATTAATGTATTATGAAATAAAGTATCACCTTGAGACTGTCGTTTATAATTTTAAAAATTTTTTGGTCACATGTATTACTGACCGTTATAAAGTCACTGTAAACTAATCTAAATTCTACCTGGCTTACCTGTATGGAGCAATGTATTGACCCGTAACGGAGTTAGGTGGAGTCAAGCATTTTGTTTATAAGTGGTGGTCATATACTATTAAGGTGAAGTTGTTTGGTATAAAAACGGTTTCTTTAAATTTACTCTTTTTCGAATGAGGTTTCTTGTGAACAACTTGGGCCTCTGAGCACTACATGTTGTTGTTTTGACCACACATATTATATTCTGCATTATCCGGAATACCTGACTTGCGGACTTTGACACTGTTTTTACCTACTTGCATATCTATTTTATACAGGGCGAGTCTTAAATAAGTGCAAATATTTTTAGGGTTATTAGATCTCGATAAAAGAAACATATAAATCCAAAATAACCGAGCTATGTTACATTAAAAATTTCCAAATTTTTATTTCATTAAATTTGGATCTTTTTTGGAATTTTCTCAAAACTGGATCTTTTCTGGGTTTTCTTGCAAATTTTATCTACTGCTTATGTTGCCATAGTATCAAGAAATTAGGTTTTTTTATTATATTATATTTATATTATATTTATAGCAGGGTCACGCTACTCAGAACAAAAGATTAGTCTCAGAAGATTTCTTATATAAAATTTGGCGGCAGAGGTGGGATTCGAACCCACGCCTCCGAAGAGACTGGTGAACTCTATATACAAGATAGCCTGCTGCGGAAATATAATTATTTTAATTATATTCATAGCAGGGGCACGCTACTCAGAACAAAATATTAATCTTAGAAGAATTCTTATATAAAATTTGGTGGCAGCGGTGGGATTTGAACCCATGCTTCCGTAGAGACCGGTGGACTCTATATCCAAGATAGCCTTCCGCAGAAATATAATTATTTTAATTATATTTATAGCAGGATCACGCTACTCAGATCAAAAGATTAATCTCAAAAGATTTCTTACATTAAATTTGGTGGCAGCGGTGGGATTGAAACCCACGCCGAAAAGACTGGTGGACTCTATATCCAAGATGGCCTGCCGCGGAAATATAATTATTTTAATTATATTTATAGAAGGGTCACGCTACTCATAACAAAATATTAATCTTAGAAGAATTCTTATATAAAATTTGTTGGCAGCGGTGGGATTCGAACCCACACCTCCGAAGAGACTGGTGGACTCTATATACAAGATAGCCTGCCGCGGAAATATAATTATTTTAATTATATTTATAGCAGGGTCACGCTACTCAGAACAAAAGATTAATCTTAGAAAAATTCTTATATAAAATTTGGTGGCAGCGGTGGGATTCGAATCCACGCCTCTGAAGAGACTGGTGAACTCTATATCCAAGATAGCTTGCCGCGAAAATATAATTATTTTAATTATATTTATAGCAGGGTCACGCTGCTCAGAACAAAAAATTAATCTCAGAAAATTTCTTATATAAAATTTGGTGGCAGCGGTGGGATTCGAATCCACCCCTCCGAAGAGACTGGTGCACTCTATATCCAAGATAGCCTGTCGCGGAAATATAATTATTTTAATTATATTTATAGCAGGATCACGCTGCTCAGAATTTCAAGAGATTAATCTCAAAAGGTTTCTTACAAGTATATTTTTGAGGTACTTGGTAAATGCACCCTTTCTTTTGTTTTGATATCTCCGGTCTTGTTTTTGTTACGACAATTCATAGGGTATAAACAGTTTTATACTGTTTGGCTATTCACCTGACTTTTTCTGTTCTTTTTGCTCTAGTATATAAGTTCAGTAATTTTATGATTAAGATTAGTTCAC